GTCCTTGCAGGTGGCCCTCCTGTAGTTAGACGTCAGAGACGAGAGCTCCAGGGCAGAGGCGAAGCAGCTCGCGGCAGAGCTGGGCTTCGTGCTGCCCCCAGCCAGAGCGCGGCGGCGCCCCGCTCGGGGCCCGCGGGGATGCCCCGACGGCTTGGTCTCGCGCGCCAGCGATTCGCGGGATTGCCCCCGCGGCCTGGCCCGCGGAGCTGTCCCCGACGACTGCGCGATATCGCCGTCGGAGAACGCGCGCCTGCCAGGCGTGGCGGCGAGGGCGCCGAGGATCATCTACGCGCGCCCCCCTGCCAGGGGGGAGGAGGGGTGCAGGCGGAAACCGAGCGGGGCTTCGAAGAGGAGGGGGATAAAAAGGGGGGGAGGTGGGGGAGGGCAAGGCAAAGGCCGAGGAGGAGGAGGAGGAACGCGAGGAGGAGAGTGAGGGAGTGGCGGGGGCGGAGGAGGAGGTCGAAGAGGAAGAGGATGATACATGCAACGAGTAGGACGGGGAGGAACAGGAGGAGGAGAAGGATGAGAAGGAGGATGGAGAGGGCAGAAGGAAGCCTCCGCAAGACGAAACCTGGCAAAGCGAGGGGGAGCTGCATCGATTCTCGTGTGGGGTCCTACCGTCGGAGTAATTGCTGTTTTTTGTTGCTTTAGAGAAGGGGGCGCGCGGTGGTTGCCGCTGCGCAAGGGCAACGCGACCCCCGCGACGACCACGTGGACGAGGCGCTGCGACTCGTATCGAAGCACGGGTTGGGGCAAAAGGCCCGTGCGAGGTCTGAGTGTACAGCTAATCGTTGAGCAGACGGGACAGGGAAAGGGGGCATCGGGATGGTTGGAGGGGAAGAAGGGTCGGGGAAATGTAAAGCTCGAGTACGCCGGACTTCGGGTTTGCCAGCGCTTTTTGACGGGGGCGTCTTGCATTTTGATGGTCCAGTTTTCGTGGGATGTTTGCAGCGGGAATTCGCGTCAAATTCTAGGCGCTTCGCGGAACCCCGCCCCCATCCAGAAACGATGCCCAGACGGGTTGCCCTGATCAGAGATGTGGAAGAAACTGCATCGGAATAACATAAAAAAAAGGTCGCGCAATACGTCGTGCCCCACGATGGGTTGGGATGGGGGATGAACCGGAACAGTGGCAAGAGGAGCAGGAACAAGAGGAACAGGAGGAGGAGGAAGAGGAGGAGGAAAATGAGGAGGAGGAAAAGGAAACAAGGAGGACGAGGAAGAGGAACAGGAGGACGAAAGGAAAAGGATGAGGAGGAGGAGAAGGAGGAGGAGGAAAAGGAGGAGGAGGGGGAACACATAAGAGGAACACGTGGAACAAAACAACGAGGAGGAGGAGGAAACGGAGGAAGAGGAGGAGGAGGAGGAGGGGAAGGAGGCAGACGAGGAGGAGGAGGAGGAGGAGGAGGAGGAGGAGGAAAAAGGAGAAACACCATATTAATAAAAGTCATATGCGTAAACATATTACGAGTATTCATACGACTATTACCAATACGAATACGAATGACAATAAGAAGACATCGACTGACAATACTAATAATAAAAACAATGGTGGGGCTAGTACGAAGCAGAGTATTAATAATAACAAGGAGAATAATACTTATACTAAGAAGAAGGAGAATAAGGCTACGACTGAGAAACAAGAGAAGCAATGGGAATACGAATACTATTAACAAGTCTATTAACCAAGAGTAATGATACTGAAAAGAAGAATCCTAGTAATAGGGATACGAAGATTAAGGCAAACACGATTACTTATACTATTAATAGTATGCATACTACGACTCGGAATAGTAATACCAATAATAATAATAATAACACCGATACGGATAATAAAAATCATGCAATAATAAGAAGCGAATGCAACTCCTTCTACTTATGATACACATAATAGTGATACTAATAAGACGAATACTAATACACATAGTACTAAGACTAACAGTACTATTAATCAGAAGACTAGTACTATTAACACTGGTAGTAGTACTATTATTACTAATACCAATAACAATACACATAGTACTAATAATTCCACCACTAATGCTAGTATTAACAGTAACATTACTATTCTCATTATTGCTAACACTGATAACGCTTCTACTAATAATAAGACGACTAAGATGAGTAGTTCTAATACTACAATAGCAACTACTATTATCAATATCATTACAATTACTAGTAATAATATTACTCCCACTACTACTAATACTAATGCTAACACTCATACTAATAATACGAGGAGGGGGAGAAGGAGGATGAGGACGATGAAGGGGAGGAGGAGGAGGAGGAGGAAGAGGAGGAAGTGAAGGAGGAGGAGGAAGAGGAAACGGAGGAGGAGGAGGAGGAGGAAGAGGAAGAGGAAGAGAAGTAGGAAGAAGAGGAGAGGGATGAGGAGGAGGAGGATGAGGAGGAGGATGAGGAGGAGGACGAGGAGGAGGAGGCAGGAAAGAAGAGGAGGAGTAATCATATGATGATGATGATGATGATGATGATGATGATGATGATGATGATGATGATGATGATGATGATGATGATGATGATGATGATGATGATGATGATGATGATGATGATGATGATGATGATGATGCTGAGGAGGAGGAGGAGGAAGAGGAGGAGGAAGGGGAGGAAACGGAGGAGGGGAAGGAGGCAGAGGAGGAGGAGGAGGAGGAGGAGGAGGAGGAGGAGGAGGAGGAGGAAGAACATAAGGATCAGGAGGAGGAGGCACAGGAGGAGGAGGAGGAACTGGAGGAGGAGGAGGAGGAGGAACATGGCGAACAAAGCAACCAGAAACCTCTTGAATTCCTTTCGGTGTCTCTTTGGATGTCGCGTGGAAAGTTTTTGGAGGCCTCTTGGGACGTCCGGGGGGGGGCAACTTGGCGGGCCCAGGGCGCCCAGGGCAGTCGTTGAGCGTCTTGGGTGCCTCGAGGGTCCTCTGGAGGCCTCTCGGGGGTCTCTTGGGAGCCTCTTGGAGGCCGCCTGGGCGCCTCTTGGGGCCGTCTGGGCGCCTCTTGAGGCCCTCGTGGGGCGCTCCTGGGAGCCTTGGGGGCGCTCTTGAACCATCTTGGAGGAGATCGATCCAAACATATGGTAGCTCTAATTCTTGACGTTTCGCGTACCCCCACCAGCCCATCCAGAAACGATGCCTATGAGAGTTGACGGGGGGAGAGAGGAAGAGACACGCATAGTCAAACAGCGAGGGAGGCTTGGGAGGCTTCGTGGCCATCTCGAGCCGTTTAGGAGCGGTCTCGGGGCCGCTGGGAGCATCTTGGTAGTCATCTTGAGCCAGCTTGGGTTATCTGAGCCAACTTTCACCTTGGGCTCTCTGAGGCCGCTCGGGTGCCGCTTGGAGGCCTCTTGGGGCTTCGCGGGGAGCTCTTTGGGCCCTCTTGGGAGCCTCTTGGGAGCCCTGGAGGGCCTCTTGGGGCCATCTTGGAGGCGGTCAGTCAAAAGAGGTGGGGCACTCGATGTTCCCCCCCCCCCCCTCGGGGGCCACCATCCTCGTGAGAGATGTCAAACATAGGCCCTCCCAGGGGCCGAACAAGGACCCCCTGACACCTCGCGGCCCCTCCCCAACAACCTAAGGGAGGGGAGGGAGAGGGTTCCCCTCCCCGAAGGGAAGAGGGGTTGTGGAAGAGGACAGAGACCCTCCTTAGACCACCTGTCGCCCAACGGGCTGGTGGGATTCATTTAGTTTCGGTGCGTTTTTGAAGGATTTGGGCATCTCGGCAGCATCTTGGGAGGCTCCGTGGCCATCTCGAGCCGTCTTGAAGCGGTCTTGCGGCCTCATGGGGCGTCTTGGGACATCTTGAGCCAGCTTGGACTATCTTGAGCCATCTTGGAGGTCGTCTTGGGCTCTCAGAGGCCGCTTGGGGGCCATTCGGGGGCCTCTTGGAGGCCTCTCGGGGGCCTCTCGGAGCCTTCTTGGGGCCTCTTGTGGCGCCAGTGGAACCCTCTTGGGGGCCTCCGGGGAGCCCTGGAGGGCCTCTTGATGCCATCTTGGAGGCGGTCGGTCAAAAGAGGGGGGTAGTCGATTCAGGTCCCCCCCTCGGGGGCCACGACCCTCGTGAGCGGTGGCAAGAAACGGCCCTCCCAATGGCCGAAAAAGGAACCTCCGACACCTCGCGATCCCTCCCAGAAAACCTCAGGGAGGGGAGGGGGAGGGTTCCCCTCCCCGAAGGGAAGAGGGGTTGTGGAAGAGGAAAGAGACCCTCCTTAGACCACCTGTCGCCCAAAGGGCTGGTGGGATTACGATCCTCCCATCGGGAGCCCCGACGCCTCTTAGGCCCTTGTTGGGGCGCTCTTGGAGCTCTCTTGGGCGCCCTTGGGGCCGTCTTGGGTCTCTTGGGCCTCTCTTGGGGCCCTCCTGGGCCCTCCTGGAGCTGTCTGGAGGCCTCGGAAGGCCATCGGAAGCGAAAAGGGAAGACGGCACACTTCATTTAGTTTCCTCAGGTTTTTGACGGGTTTTGGCCTCTTGGCGGCCACCTGTGGAGGCTCCGTGGCCACTCGGAGCCGTCTTGGAGCGGTGTTGGGGCCTCTTGGAGCATCTTGGGAGCCATTTTGAGCCATCTTGGGCTATCTTGAGCCATCTTGGAGGTCATCGTGGGCTCTCTGAGGCCCTCCTACGTAGAGCCATCTTGGGCCATCTTGGACGCTCCAACGCCTCGCGGAACCCCTCCTTCAGGTCCAGGGGAGGGGGGAGGTGGAGGGGTTAACTCCGCCAGAAGGGGAAGAAGGGGGCTGGAAGAGAAAGCTCTCTAGACCACCTACGCCCAGAGGGCTGGTGGCATTCCAGATTGGGTCTCGTCATTTTCCTGACGGCCCCATCAGGCCAGCCCGAGACCCCCGAACCCGAGCCTGGGGTTTTCCCCAAAGGGGAGGACGGGGAAGGAGCAGGAGGAGGCCGAGGTGGGGGAGAAGGGAGGCGGGGAGGGAAGGGACCGGGAGAGGAGTGAGGGAGCCGCGGTGGCGGCGTTGTGGCTGTGCCCTGGCAAGCTCGCGAG